TTTAAACTTTGGGTACAGGGTTCGTGGAAAAGGTGAACATTTTTTAAATGGAAATGAAACATACCTACAAGGAAGTGACAGATCTTAAGTATATAGCTTCATGCAGCTTGACAGAGACATGTTGACATGACTAATTTATATATAGGACATTACCAGCACCCCAGAAGGCTCCCCCTCCCCTAACCTAAAGGTGGATTTTGTTTGTGTGCATGTCTGCAGGCAAGGAATTTTCTCAGTGTTGTCTGAGTCTTTTGCCTTCCCGTGCCCTATAGCAAAAACCCCTCAAAAGAAAAAAATAAGATATATTCACTGGGGATAGAATTTTAAGTAAGCAGATAGTTTCTGTCAGCACTTACATATTGACAGATGGGGACCAGTGGATGGCATAATGGCTGTGTTGCTGGATTCCCATGTAGTCGACCGGGACCCAGTGGCTTCAACTCACGCCTGTCACATGTGCGTGTGTGCCCAAGATCCCGAGAGGAGAGCGAAGGAGAAGGGATTGTGGCATGGCCATCCCCCCAGGGCAGAGAGGGGGTGATTTCTCACTTTCTGTCTCTCTGTCTCTCTCTGACTTTCTGGTGAGTGTACGCGCCCTATAGCAAAACCCTCTCAAAAAAAAAAAAAAAAATAGCGACAGATGCTGTCATTGTCGTCAGCTGACAGTCTTTGTTGCTGTCTTAAATGGAATATGTGTATCTTTCTTTGATTGCTTTTGAGTTTCTTTCTTTGTCCTTGGTCTTTAATCGTCTGGCTATGTGTCTAGGTATGCCTTTTTTCTTTCTCATATCAATTCTGCTTGGCATTCATAGAGAAGCTTGAATCTGTAGCTTGATGTCTCTTTTTGGTATTTTGAGTAATTCTTGGCCATCTCCAATTTTTCCAATATTGCTCATTCCCATTTCTCTGTTTTCTTGTTTTAGATCTCTAAAATGCACTCGTATCAGTTATTTTCACCATGTATAATATGTTTATGCTTCTTTTTGTGTTTTTCATCTTCTTCCCTTTTACGTTTAGTTTGCATACTACTGACTTATATTCTACTTCACATACTTCACAAAATACAGCACTTTTTTATCAAGAGCTTTCATTTTCTCTCTTTTCCAATTTTTGAGTAGAAATTGACATTGTCATCTATTTTCTTGAATGCAGTCATCATAGTCATGTTAAAGATCATTTCTGATGGCAATATTGAGAATAACTCATTGATTATCTTTTCTTATTTTTTCATCGTTTGATTTAGTCTTTGGGTACACCAGATGGTTTTTTCTTTTAGTAGCAGATATTATGTGTGAAGAACTAGAGCAGTTCTAGGTGCTATGTCTTCCTCCAGGGATGATCAAGTTTTGTTCTGGCAGATAATGAGACTCAAAGCTGATAACCATGATACAAACAAGGACTGAAATCATTCAAGGTTGCATTTCAGACTTTGTGAGGTCATGTCTCTTTCTGAGTTATGGTTACACTTAGGCATTAGGCCTTCTGGCATGAACTAAAATCCCAAGGTTTTTACTGAGGTATCTTTATTGGTGAGCCATGAGCTCCAGTTTTTGCCCCTGGGCACTGTGATACTGCAGAAATCTCCTTGTGTTCTAGCAGCCTCTTTGTACTGGTTTCTGAGCATCTGGCCTTCTGTGTACTCAGCTCAGGAATTGTCAGAAACCTTAAGAGGAAATGGAACATAGCCTGTCAGGTTTATTTCTTTATGTTTCCCCTTTTCCCAGAAACTTGGTCTATTATATTGTGGTCTCCTTGGTTACAGCGCATTCTTAGTCTGCTACAAGTTTCAGGCTGGTGCTTTTTGCTCAAACTTTTTGTCCTATGCTTTTAGGTAGAAAATCGCCCAAAGGGAATAAACAGCTATGAATGTGTGACTCCCGTCAGTGTATCTCTCTGGCTACCTTGATGCTTTGATGCCCGTGAAAATGTTTCTTTTTTTTTTTTTAATTTAAAGATTCGGAAAAAATTTAGACTTATTGAGAAGTTGGAAAATTATTATAGAGAGTTTACATAGACCCTTCACTCATCTTTTCCTCATTTTAGCTTACAAGTAACATTTATTATTATATTTCAACTGAGTATTGCCATATTTTCTACGCTAGTAAAACAAAGCATGACTGCTAACTGGTTGAAAGAAAAAACAAGGGAACCAATAGATAGGGTGAAATTTTTGGATCAGTGCTTTTCACAGTGGGTTCCTCAGAAGACTGCTCTTCAGTCCTCATATTAGACCTTGCCCATAGCCAAATAAGCATGGAAAGTATAATATCTTATATGTAACCTCTTGGAAATTCACAGTGCCCACTACCATTTTAGAGCTTCTGAAAGTCTTTTAGTAAACAAATCTGCCAGAGTTGCGTTTTTAGGAGATTTCCCCAACTATGCAGTGTTTGATGAAGAATCTTTAGGATTTCTCATCATACCCTTTAGCTTGGCATTTGAGAATCTGGGATCTGACCCTGCCTACCTCACAGAAATGGTGAAAACACAATTTCTTGGTGTTTTCATTTTTTAGCACCTTTGCCTACACCAGTAGTTCTCAACTGGCTGCAGACGTTTTTGGTTATTACGATATGGTGTGTGTGTGTGTGTGTGTGTGTGTGTGTGTGTGTTACTGGCATTTCCGTGGGTAGAGACCAGGGCTGCTGCTAAATGTCTGGGGATGCACAGGACAGCCTGCACCACCCAGCATTACCTGGTCTAAATATGCATCGTGCTGAGCTGATAAAACCTCCCTTTACCCTGCACACTCCTGCCTCTGGGTCTTTTTTTAATTTATTTTTTTTTTCCGGGTGTCTCATCCCTGAAGGCCTTTCCTTTAATTTCCCCAGTGAAATATCTGTTCTCCTTTCAAAGCCAGCTCAAAAGCCAGGTCTCATAAGAACAGGCCCTGTGTGAGCCTGCCCCCACTGCTATGGACGCCCATCGACTTCTCTGTGCATCACTGAAACGCCTGTTCCTTCAGTACGTTTACAGTATGATTATATTTTAATTTTTTTTTTTTGAAATGAGCACATACTATTGGAAAAAAATGGCAGTAACACATTGAGTCTTTGCAGGGTTGCCACAGGCCTTTGATTTGTAAACAGTGCATTATCTGGGGAGTATAATAAAACAAGCTATGCCTGTAAAAAGAAATATCGGGTCATCTAAAAAGTCATAACACATTTTTGTGTAGAAAAATATTGAAAAATACCTTGACTTTCTGATGACCCAATAATTCTTCCTTTTTGTGTCTATAACCTATCTAATACTTTTACCCTCATACTATTTTTTACTGTATTTATTTATTTACATGTTTTTCTCTGCTACCATAATGTAAGTTTCTTTCTTTTTTTTTTTTTTGAGAGGTTTTTGCTATAGGGCACGGGCGCTCGCCATACAGACAGAGAGAGACAGAGAGA